GTGGGGATAAGGACACATATGTAATAACTTAATCAATAAAAAAATTTTAAATAAAGAAAGAAAAGTAAAAAAAAGATATATATATATATTTTTTATAGATTTCAGAGAGGAAGGGAGAGAGAAAGAGAGAGAAACATCAATGATGAGAGAAAATCATTGATCAGTTGCCTCCTGCACTCCCCCTACTGGGGATTGAGCCCATAACCGGGGCATCAAACTGTGAATTCCTGGTTCATAGGTCAACACTCAGCCAAGGAGCCACATTGGCTGGGCTGGGGACATTCTTAATAGGTGACGCCTTAAGTCCCTTATTGTGGGGGCTGCTGCATGGTGGCACAGGATTAAGCAGAAAAGTCTCAGGCAGCGTGCATAGCATCTTAGGTGAGTTACAGGTGGCTTTTTCTACTGTGTGATGTGTTCTTCGGAGGACTGTGACAAGTTTGTTATAGGCTATGCCTGTAGCATGCAAAAGAATAATAATGTTTGTAAAGAAAACATTTCCTTCTTTATCTATATTTATAGGTTCTATTTTAATCGAGTATAGATTGCAGCTGCCACTGCTTTCAATATGGCAGATTTGTTTGAATTAGAAACCTGAGTCTTTTCAATGATTTCTCAACCAGATGATTGAGCAATAAGTGTCAAAGAAAGCCATGAGGAGCCTAGGATTTATGCTGCAGCAGGAAGATACGCTCATTGGTCTTTTATCCCCATCAAAAGTAAAACCTGAGCACACACACAGTTGAGAGAAACAATCCTACATAATAAAAGCGTAATATGCTAAGTGTTTGACCCATCAGTCGACTGTTCGGTCAACTGCTTACCCAGTCGCTATGATGTGCACTGACCACCAGGGGGCAGAAACTCTGACCAGTAGGTTAGCTTGCTGCTGGGGTCTGGCTGATTGGGACTGGGAAAGAGGGTCGGACATGCCCTGGAGCCCTCCTGCAGCCCCTCCCCACCGGCCGGCCCCCATGGCCCCAATTGGGACTGGACAAGATGGCCCCGATCGCCGGCCAGGCTGAGGGACCCCCACCCATGCACGAATTCGTGCACCGGGCCTCTAGTTATTCACATAATTAGAGTTTTTTTTCTGAGTTTATTTACCCACTAAGATAATAATAATAACAAGTACTTTTTATGTACCAATAGATAGTTAATGACTTTGTGGAGTAGTCCAAAATGTATTGTACACACTTTGCAATCAGCACAAACCTTACGGCATTTTAAAGAAAAAAACAGACCCTGTAGTGAAAGAACTTGAGATCTGGGTGGGTCCCCATTTTCTTTAACCTTGAATGTCAAGAAACATGTAGCGATATCATAAGAAAATCTAGGGCTTAGTAAAATACAATGTGAATTTCAGGATCCTGGATTTATTTTAATTGGTTAGATAACAATATTTTAAAAAATACTATGGAGTAAATAAGGCAATTACTACCCCCAAAATAAGACAAATTTCTGTGAAAATGCACTATTTGGGGGAAATAATTCTTATATAAACCAGATTCAGACTTTCAATGTCCCTTTAAAAAGGTTTGATTTCTTTTTCAAAGAGGAAATTTGTGTTCTTGATTCTACACATCATCCTGATTGGTTTCTTTCATCAGTAAGGGGTATGTGTACCATCCAAATTCTCTATCCTGCCTCCCCTCACAGTGGCCAGAGGTGCATTTATTCTCCCCAAACTCTTATGCTTCAGTTCCCCACACCCCTGGGGTCCATCGGGCACTCAGCCTCCTCACTGCCATCTCCGAGGGTCAATCACAGAGTACGAGCTTGAGCCTTTCTCTCCTGACACCCCAAGAAAGCTGGACAGATTCCCAGGCTCAACCCAGGATTTTGTTTTATACTTATATCAGCTACATGTAAATTACTTAATGAATCTGCAATTAAAGGCATAGTGATGCTTTGTGAACTTTGTATCAAGTTTGCATCATATAAGATATATAACTGTTTTTATTTTGGCAATAAATTGTGACAGCAAAAAAAGGTCACATATTGAGAATCTCAGGATTTCAAATGCCTTGAATCAACAGATTCTTAATAATCACTTCAAGTTTAAAAACAAAATACAGTGGCACCACATAATGAAGGGAGGTGGGAGGGTAGTAATTAATACGTATCTAATTACTTGGGCAATGTCAAAATTTGGTGATATAATTTACACTTTAAAAGTTATATTTTCATCAGTGTATTTCAGTCTAAGTAATTAGCTGGTATGATGAATATTAATCTTCATTATAATGGTATCTTTCTCATACAATATTTATTAATGATAAGCACTTTGGTGATAGTGAATTTCAGTGGTGATAATATTTAGCTGCTTTAGCAAGTAGGACTTTTCCCCTTGTTGGAGATTTCTTTTGTGTGTCCTAATTCTTTTGGGTACATAAGTTCTATTGTAAATATAAAAAAAAAAGTAGGAAAAATGTCTCTTGTATTAATATTTAAAAATACTTCTGTGTAAAGGAATTGCTTGATCCAGTGTGTCCAGTAGAGGGCTCTGGAAAACAGCACGAGAGCTCGTATCAGGTTTGTCAGAGTGGAATCTCTCCTTTTTTCACAACTTACACACTCAGGATGCAGGAAGATACCCATGTGAATTTCAAAGTCTTCCCCCATATACCACACCTAATCGTGGAAGAAAAAACGATTACCTTGTTGCAAACATTGCTCTCAGGGATGAGAAAGTTGCTGCATCTTCTTTCAGAGCCTTCAGTTCATTTCTAAGTTTCGTCATCGTTTCAGTCACCATTGCTTTCTCATTTTCATATTTGTTCTTGAGATTAGCTAGTGCCACCTCAGCTGTCTAAAGTGGAAAAATCACAATGCTTACAACTTTCATATCAGGAAAATCTATCACAGAGATTTCTTCATGCTGGGAATATTACTTTCATAAACGGAGGTGAAATGGACTTGGTTATCCTATCTAATAATAGACAAACATGGTAATTGACCATACCTTTGCTACGCCTCCCATGGGCTAATCAGCATGATATGCAAATTAACCCAACCAAGATGGCGGCCGGCAGCCATGCAGCTGAAGTGAGCAGGAGGCTAGCTTGCCCCAGTGATGGAGGAAGCCAAGGTTCCCCGCCTGCCGCAGCCCGGCTCTGAGCTCCGAAAGCAACAAAGTTTCAATTATAGAAGGTAAATAAATCCCAGAATAAAAAAGAAAAAGAAAAAAAGGAGAGGCTGGGAGCTTCAGTCGCCGGCCAGCCTGAAAACGGCCCTCAGCCCCTCACTCAGACTGGCCAGGCACCCCAGTGGGGACCCCCACCCTGAAGGGGGTGTGGCCAGCCTAAAAACAGCCATCAGCCCCTCACCCAGGCTGGCCAGGCACCCAAGCGGGACTCCCACCCTGATCCGGGACACCCTTCAGGGCAAACCAGCCGGCCCCCACCCATGCACCAGGCCTCTATCCTATATAGTAAAAGGGTAATATGCAAACTGACCCTAACAGCAGAAAGACTGGGAATGACTGGTCACTATGACACACACTGACCACCAGGGGGCAGATGCTCAATGCAGGAGCTGCCCTCTGGTGGTCAGTGCGCTCCCACATGGGGGAGCTCTGCTCAGCCACAAGCCAGGCTGATGGCTGCCAGTACGGCGGTGGTGGTGGGAGCCTCTCCTGCCTCCTCAGCAGCGCTAAGAATGTCCGACTGCAGCTTAGGTCTGCTCCCCGCTGGCAAGTGGACATCCCCCGAGGGCTGCCGAGCTGCCAGAGGGATGTCTGATTGCCAGCTTAGGCCCAATCCCCCGGGGAGCAGGCCTAAGCCAGCAGGTGGTTATCCCCCGAGGGGTCCCAGACTGCAAGAGGGCACAGGCTGGGCTGAGGGACGCCCCCCCACCCCCCGAGTTCACAAATTTTTGTGCACCGGGCTTCTAGTATTTTATATAAACATAGGTATGTATTTTGGACTTAAGGCAGTTTTCCTTTAATGTCAAAACGTGTTGTGAATCCATGTGGTGACATTGCCCTAGAAGCCAGCCATGAACCTGAGTCAGTATTAAGAGCAAAGGCAATGATAGTTCAATAAATATTTAATGCAGATTGTTGAGAGTGTAGGGTTTTCAGACATGAAGAAGCCAAAATGAAACTTTACACAAAAAGAATTTTATCAAGGAAAAGTTAGGGGAAAAGTACTGGTTCCAACTGAAATGTAATAGAACTCAAATATTCTTGTGTCACCTGAGTTCTGTGGGCCTGAAACAAACAGAATAAAAGATGTAGGCCAAGCATGTCAAACTTGCGGCCTGCAGGCCGCATGCAGTCTACAACGAATATTTTTGCGGCCCAGCCAATACAACAGTATGTAAGAAACGTTTTAATAAAAATTTCGTAACTTAATTTTTACAATATGCTGTTATACATGATTGTTAATAAAGAACTACATAGTTCGCTGACTGATTACTATAATTGTGTCTCATTCATTTCCCTTACACGCCTTAAGTGTAGGCGCACCATTTCTCTCCACTAATACTAGCAGCGAATATTTTAGCAGCCGATTGCTACGTCATAGTCTTGGACTGACTTGTGCGCAACAGGAAATATTTCACTTTTGGAGAACAAGAAAAGTAGGTTTATTTGCATTATGCTTATTAATTTGTGCAGTTATTCAGTGTCTGGTAAGTTAATGTTCAAAAAATATTAATTTTTATTAAAATGTTGTATTATTTTATGCTAACGATTACTCATTTATTTCAGCCCTTTGTATTCAGCATATCTCTATTGAAACAAACTGATGTTTCTATGAAAATTGAAGCTTTTGATTTTTTGCGGCCCACATAAACTTAAACCTTGTTTATTTGGCCTGTGTTAGCCTTTGAGTTTGCTATGCTTGATGTAGGCCATTGCAATTTATGATGAGTACATAAACTATCAATCCATATTTTATGTTTAAGGAAAAAAATTAACAAAGAACCAATGATTTCTGATGCCTTTGCATACAACTTCTTCAAAAACAGTGAACTATAGTCAAAATTAATAATCAAATTTCAATAATCAGATAACAATAAAAATAATCAAATTTGAATAGTCAAATTTAAGTCTTCACAATCCCCATAAAAGCAAAAATTCCAAAATGGTGAATGAATTGAAATATTTATTTGAATTTGGGCATGTCTGAAGTTCTAAGAATAAGTAGTGTTTCAAATTGAGAACTAGCCTGACACATGGCAGGAAGTAAAACTTAAAAATGTTGAGTGAATCTATTAATGAAATGAATGTATATTTAGGGACTGTCTGTTAGGTGCATAGCACATGATATGCATATAGAAGCCAAACTGGAAACATACCATTTTTACAAACTGCTAACTACAGCTTTCAGGCTGTGTAAAAATATTCAATACTAATGAAAAAGTCCCTTACTAATGAAAAAAAATCCATTACTAATATGATGTCCCAGGAAGACTACCCTGGTTTTTAACATTTCTTTTTGTGCTTGAAATGGACAACTTCAGTTTTCTTAAGCAAAGCACAACTTCTATGGAGGTAAATGGATTCTTTTTTTAATTAAAACAATGTTGGGATGGGGTAGTTTGTTCATGTTTTGATTATAAAGTAGTTCCTTATTAGTTTTGATTGAATTTAAATTCAAATTGAAATGAGAAATTACTCATTAAATAGTTCAATATGCCCTGTAGTGCTATCACTTAGTGGAATCTTCAGAAATATTATAAATTCAGAAAATTGTCTGGAATACAGAAGTTGACCTGGGGAAATGGCCGTTTTAAATTTTTAAAAATAAATTATACACATATTCATTTAGAACAGATAGTTAAGTTTAAGTTGTGCAAATGCAGATGTAACAAATTTGTAAGCATATGGAGCCATGTGGTCAGTTAACTAAGGAGAGTTGAGTGGCAAGGGTGAGTGGGGGGAACGACAGAAAAACAAGATCTGAAATAGAAGTACAAAGTTATTTATTATTTGTGAGAAATGCCCCCAAAGGATTCAGCATTGTTGATTTATTTGTCCACAGACTGTACAACACTTTTTCAGAATTAAGTAATTCTAAGTGTCTATATATAACCCATTAGTACATTTGTTGGCATCAGCAGCATTTGCTATATCCTTCAAACACTCCCAAAGTGTACTTTCTAAATAAAAATCTTGTTTCTAGCCACAGAGACCTTCAAAATATATATCTTTCTATTCTGTGCCTCTACCGCCTACTGTTCTTTCTGTCTGGAATTATTTCCTCCTCTTCTAGAAAACAACTCCTCATCCTTTAAGAACAGACACACGAATAATTCCTTCTATGAAGTTTTCTCGAACTCTTCTAAAAGACATTAGTTACTTCCTCTGCAATGTTCCCATAACTCAATTACAGCACGGATAACATCAAACTGTAATTATCTGTTTCTATTCTGACTTCCCCACTGGACTGTGACTCCTCCTTTTTTTTTAGGTCAGGGGCAGGGACCATGGATGAGTCTTTGAAACTTTAGCATCTAATTAGTACACAGATGGTACTTCATAAACATTTGCTTGTTCATCAGAGGACACTGTGCTTACAAAAAAAAAATCCTAAAGCATATTAAAAGATTCATAGAGAATGCAGAAAACTATTTTAAAATAGAAAATTCCTTTTCCTATATCACAGAATTCTCACCTTAGCCTTAATAATTTACATTCCACATGCAGAAATATAATGAATGTCACCTGTAGACACGTGAAGCTATTTATGGCATATATGCATCACAGCAATAGGCCCAGCATCATTAAAATGTAAACTAAATGCATGGCTAGGAATGTGTTCTCATTTAATTTACTGAGTCCATAAAGGCTATGACGGTAACATAATGCAAATGGTACCATAGCCAGAAATGCTTTGTTCTGCTCTGAATTCCTATGGCACTGTTTATACCATTCTTAAGTGCTTGATATGTACTATCTTGTAGACAGTTATCGGAATTATTGAACTCCTTCCTACTAGATTACTAGTCACTTATTTTTTCCTCCTTACTTACTGCCTGCCATGAAATATGTAATCAATGAGTGCTTGCTCACAAATTAGTCTCTCTTGGCTGATCAACCATCCTTATTATCTAACCTCTGTGTCAGTTATGTGTCTTGACTTTCTTATAGATCTAGGTCTCTAGGTTATTAATATTCAACCTTCAGAAAGAAATTAGAGAAGTTATCTGAATGGTTTGATCGAGAATACCCAGGATATAACGTCCTGGAAAAAGGCTGTCTTATCTGATATGGTATTGATTATTTATGACCACTCTAAATCACTGGATCTTTGGATTGTAGCAGAATTTATGGTAACGAATTCCTCAATTCTGACCTCAAATCTCAGATCTCTCACAAATTCTCCATTTACCCTAATCTTTTCTATTTTTCTGAACTGATGACACAAAAGAAGGACCTATTTTGCCCTTAGGTTTATATAAAACATGTTTATAGTGTGGACAATATTATTGTTTGTGGTATAGACCTCCAAATTATATGAATGGGTTTATGGGAACTGAAGATAAAAATGCTAGAGAGCTGCACTGTAGATGACAAAATAATAGTGTGGTTTCCCCCAGACAAAGGTAAAAGAAAGAACTCCGAATCTGAAATTAACCTCTAACACTAGCCCTGCTTACATTTGTAAGAAGGTATCTGATGCTTTGTTGCTTCGCTTCATCAACACCCTTTTAGCACCCTCCTCAAATCTATGTCTCAATGCTCATTTTCCAGAGAAACTAAAGAAAGGTTAAAAATATTTTCCTGTCTATATTTCATAGCATAGCCACCCAGGTAAAACTCAAGGCAGGAAAACAGATCCAGTCATCAAGGAGATCTTGGAATTAGTCAGGTAGGGTCTTGTTGTAGCACCCTTACTTATTCCAGAGGACAAGATCTGTGGTTAGGAAAAATTCTCTACTGCTTAAGCTCTGACCCAAGTGAGTTAACATCCCAAATGAACCTAAACTTCAGATATGTGGTCACTAGCAGAGCGAGTGCACATTTTACCTCCATCTCTACCTCTGTTTCTCTACCTCTCTCTCTCTAGGTAACTCCGTTAGCTCCAGCTGCCTGCCAGGTGTCTTTCTTGCTGTGTCTCCCTGGTGTAAGCTGCCATGCCAGCCTATTCTGTCACCCCTCCACCCCCTGTTTTCACATGCAATGACTGCTGGACTCCAGCTAAGTACTGCCTGAACTGCCTTTCTATGTCTGCATGGATTTTCTCCTCTGTTCCTGCTTTAATTTCCTCACCTCTACCTCCACCTAATGGACCATACCGACTCTCCTATTTCATTCATTCACTGAATTAAAAATAATTATTACATTCTGACCTGGTACTAGAACTTAGTTTTTATTTCCTTACTGACCAGGAACCTGAACTCTCATCCTGATGATAGTGGACACTCAGAAACATTAAGGAATAAATGCGATAGGAAGGCGTTGGCTAGCATGCGTGGTCAGTGGGATGAGATCACCTGCTTGTTGGCTTTCAACACAGCCCTCAGTGTGGCAATCTGCTCCCGTTTGGTGCTCAGCAGGGACTTGAGCTTGAGGATCTCCTCCATTAAGGCTTCCTTGTCTTTATCGATCATGGGGGCCAGCTCCCGTGCCGCTGCTCTTTGACGAGACAGTTGCAAGGACCGGTCCACGGCTTTCTGCAGATGCTTGATTTGGTCCCGGATAATGGCATTAAGGTTGTAGATATTCATTGGCTCTTTGCGGATGTCACTTGTATCTAATACTGGAGATGACGGTGGGGCAGTAATTACAGGAGAGATAGTGGGGGTCTTGGTTGGACTTGGTTCTTTGCTGGCCTCAGTGTTTTCTTTTGTAATTGGTTCAGAGGAGGTCCTGGATTCTACTGGGGATGACACCCCCCGCCTGGCTAACCGTGGAGACAAAAGTCCCCTGGGATCATCGGGCCCTTTGAGGCTGCCACTACGAGTAACTCTGCTTTGCCTATAGTAGTCCAGCATGACCCTGTTGGGGGTTTCATTATTACACAGACATACATGGTGGTAAAGCTGAGCTAGCTCCTCACTAAAGGTCACCAACTCATCCTGGGCTGTATTAAGGGTATTGTGATTTTCGTTGGCTATGCTGGTCATCTTTTGCAATTCCTTCTCCATGTGGGCCATCTTCTCTCCACTCTCCTTGGTGGTCTTCTCAAGGCTTGTCACCTGCTCATCATACATTTGGATCTTACTCTCATACTTGGTCTTTTCTTCAGTATAGTTTTCTACAGATTTGTTGTATTTCTCCTTTAAGGCTTTAATTTCAGCTTTCAAATCGATCACCTCAGTCACTGCCACCCTGTATTTGCACTCTAGGATCTCTAAGCCATTGATGTCCACCTCATAGTCATGTGCCTCTTCCTCCGAGACCCGGCCCTTCTCCCCGTCCAGCTCGGTCTTGAGCTCCTTGCTGTTCTGTAGGCCCCTCATGGCATTAACGTGCTCCGTGAGCCGGTGCACCCGTTCGTGCTGCTCTGTCAGCGCCCCCTTGGTGTGTTCCAGCTGCGTCTGTGACTCCTGGAGATTGGCCAGAAGAATGGCCTTTTCCCGCTCTACCTGCAATAACAAAAGAAAGTCTCTGAATGCCTTCAATGCAATGCCATTGATGAACTGAATCCATTCACTGTGGGGCATAAATACATTTAAAATAAGTGCAACAGAGCCAATGTCCCACTATTTCAAATTAAATTGGAGTGTGTTTTCTTATTTCAGCAGTTCTGGTAAGTCAATCACTCTGAACGTACATCATTCTAAAAGAATTATGCTATGCATATTTACCCATCCAAATTCTCATGCATTATACACATCCACTCATAAAACTTGAACGTTATTCAAACAATCTTATTTTTATCTTTGAACACTTCACAGAAAACATAACATGACTTCAAGAGATAGTACTTGGCATGGTCTTTATTTTGAAAGCCTTAGAGCAGTGGTTCTCAACCTGTGGGTCGCGACCCCTTTGGGGGTCGAACGACCCTTTCACAGGGGTCACCTAAGACCATCGGAAAACACATATATAATTACATATTGTTTTTGTGATTAATCACTATGCTTTAATAATGTTCAATTTGTAACAATGAAATTGGGGGTCACCACAACATGAGGAACTGTATTAAAGGGTTGCGGCATTAGGAAGGTTGAGAACCACTGCCTTAGAGTGTATCTGCTCCTTAGTTCATGTGGGGTAAGTGGCTGTTTCAAGGTGCCTATGAATCATCCTTTCCTTCCCAGAGCTTAACCCAAAGTCAGGTTTAAACCCTAAGACTCTAACTTACAAATACTGCTGAGAACCTTAGACATTCCCTTAAAAAAAAGCATTTACTCCCCCAAATAAACATACACTAAATTTGAGAGCTTTTAATATAAAAGTCAAAGAATATAGAGTTTTAGAATTAAAAGAACAATTTCCAAATCATTTCAATTCCTTCACTCCAAAATAAGAATTTTAAAAATTGGTAATTAATCTGAATAATATGACAATTTTATTATTACCAGTATATAGGTGGTATTAGTGTATGTTGAAAATATTCAGGTCTCAATATAAAATAGTGTCTCATTAAACATAAGTATATGAGAAATTATAATCTGAAGTTTTTAAAAACCATTTCTGCCTGACCTGCATGGCTCAGTGGTTGAGTGTCGACCTATGAACCAGGAGGTCACAGTTTGATTCCTGGTCAGGGCACATGTCTGGGTTGTGGGCTTGATCCCCAGTGTGGGTTGTGCAGGAGGCAGCTGATCAATGATTCTCTCTCAACATTGATGTTTCTATCTCTCTCTCTCCCTCTCCCTTCCTCTCTGAAATCAATAAAAAAATATGTATTTCAAAAAGAACCATTTCTGTCCCTCCATACCAGTAATCAGTATTATGAATTAAGAATTTTTACATGTTTAGAATGTAAATATGGTTTGTGATAAGCAAATATTTACATATTAAAGTATTATATAATATTTACATTTTAAAGCATTATATAAGTGGTCTCCTATCCTTCTGCACTTGCTTTCTTTTCTTTTTCTTCTTGTTTTTTAAAGTAAACCATCATGAGACCTGCTTTAAGGATAACAGATTGATGTTGAATGTCTTAACATCTAGAGAAAGTTATCAATTCAAACTTTCAAACTATCCTGGATCATACACTATATCTCTCCAAACTCTTCTAAATTCCTAGGAGGCAAGTAAAAGTACTATTATAATTACATAATAAATACCAATTATTAAACTATAATAATTATTATTTTAACCAGTATATTACTTTAAAAGATATCTATCTATTCATAATACAGTAGAGTAGTACTTTTATGATCCTTTGTGGTACTTCATAGCCTTCATATAATTATCATGTACAGAGAGTACTCAGTTGGCAAGGTTCTAATATGGATGAATTTCATTGACCATTAGTTTTAACTAATTAAAACATCGGTCCCCCCAAAACACAGTTCAAATTTCAGTAACCAATATATTAACTGAGAGCAAATGTAAAGTACAAACTCTGACACTTTACAAAATCACTACATAGTAACATCATGACCAGTGACCAATCACGTAATTGGTCATGACTTCATACAAAGTCTGTCAGTGATTGGTTACTGTGTATCTGTGATTCAGTTCACTCATAGATAGCAAAGTGTGTAGCTTTGTCTTCTTGTCTCACAGTGATAAACCCACATGATGTTTTACAGAAATAGATCATCCAAAGAGGGAATTGGCAAAGGAAAGAAGAAAGGGAGGGAGGGAAGGGCAACAAAGAAACACAGACTAAAACATTGGCGGTGATATTTGAATCAAACATAAATGGAGTTATAGAAGAAATAGTTGAATGTGGGAATGTGGACATTGATGATGTTGAAGGACTTTAGATATGCATCAAAGCAATTTGGCAAAGGAGAATGTATCAAAAACGAAAAATGTAGTTGTTATAAAAAGGATGAAAATTCCTAAAGGAAGTGACACCAGCACACTAAAGATACTCTCAGAGATATTTTCAGGCATTGAAAATGCAAAGGATAAAATGTTAGAAGCTGATCTAAACTTAGGTAGGAGAATGACGATTTGTCAAGGCATAAGAAAGATTTTTGCTCAGTATTACAAGTTACAGTATGAGAAGAAGGCAAGTTCAAATTGATCTTGATAACTTTTTTTCAGAGGGGGGGGTGTTATATTTTTATTAAAAAGCCTGAATAGCTTTGCTATTCTGCAAAATATAAAGTTAATTTCCCTGTGTGTTTGTGTTGTTGTTTTTTTGAAGGGGCAGAGGGTGTTAAATTTTTATTTCCGAGGTAAGTTTTTTACAAAGAAAACTTCATTTCTAATTTTAGATTACAGTGTACTAAGTAGTTTTACTATTTTTTTCATTTCTCTATACATTTATAACCAATGTTTTAATGTTTAATGAAAAAAATTTAAAGATCACAGAACAGTTGTAATTTTTACTATTTTTTTCATTTCTCTATACATTTATAACCAGTTTTAATGTTTAACAAAAAAATTTAAAGATCACAGAACAGTTGTAATCTTCTCATTACTAAGTTTGTTTTGCATAGTTTCAGCTTGCTTAATCACATTTATGTTTCTACAATATTATGCAAAGCAAGGACTGCCTGTACAGTGTGGTCATGTATATTAGAACTTAAAATATAGTTTTGTTACATTAAATTATTATTTAGAGGCTCCTAAGTTGTAGCTGTGATTTTATGAAATAGTGCCTGCCCATATCTATGACAGGAACATAATCCACAAGTTATGTATCATGGCTACAGAAACCAAAATATCCCCCCAAAATAGTATTATAGGTAAAAAGCAAAACTGAGGCTGCAGCATCAGAGAACTCGAGTCAAATCTTGGCACCATCGTTTACTTAGCTATGTGCCTCTGAGCAAGCTTCAGTTTAGTAATCTATAAGAGGAGGACAAACTATCACAATAACGACATTTTGATGATTTAGATACTGGATTTTTTAATATGTATTTTTACTGATTTCAGAGAGGGAGAGGGAGAGAGAGAGAGAGAGAGAGAGAGAGAGAGAGAGAGAGAAACAACAAAGAGAGAGAATCATGGATCAGCTGCCTCCTGCACAACCTACACTGGGGGATCAAGCCTGCAACCCGGGCATGTGTCCTGGCCAGGAAGTGAACCATGACCTCCTGGTTCATAGGCCAATGCTCAACCACTGAGCTATGCTGGCTGGGCTAGATAGCGAATTTAATGCTCAAGGTATTATGTTAGCTACTAGAGGCCCGATGCACGAAATTCATGCAAGTGGCTCAGACCCCGCCACAGCGGCAGCTGCCTTGGACCCCGATGCCACGGCTTTGTCCAGAGGTCATCCAGAAGAACGCCTGGTCTAATTAGCATATTATGCTTTTATTATTATGGATTATTAACATTTGGTAACTGTGGTCCAGTTCCCATGACCAACATGATTCCACATGGCAAACACATCCGTTTTCACAAATTTGAATCTGTGTGCAAAGCAACTCTTTCATTTCAGAGTCAGGATATATTTGAATACAAATCCTCTTAGCTGGGTTTCCTTAGATATAAAAGATTATATCTCAATAGCTAAAGATGAATTGACTTATCTGGACTATTGGGCAATGATTTTAAGCGAAAAACCCAGGTAACTTTGTAATATGGTATTAGATGAAAAAACAAATCATTTGAATTTTTTATAAAGGGGGTAGAAAAATCTCTCAATATTTTATTACTGGTATTATATACAATCTCAATGAAAATGGATTATTTCAGGAGTTTTGTTTTCTTTTTCTCTTGGAAATTAAGTGAATTTGCTCTGAAAGTCTAAATATATTTTGATTAGTATACATTATTACAAAAGACAAAGCTACCTCCAAAAAGCCCTATAGTAGGAAAAGCCTTTCAATAAAATAGGATTAAGTAAAGTAAAATAAAAATTGGACCAGAACAAAATGTACTGATTGTGTCTAAAGCTTGTTTTAGAGGCAAAAGTGTTATAATGAATGAGGTAATGCCTTTAGGAGAGTTTCCATCTGAATTCTGCCAATTCATATTTACTTTACTATTTCTCAGGTCCACTTTACTATTTCTCAGATTCTATTTTCTTCTAATATAATTTTGAGGTTTCTCAACCAGTGTTGGATGTCAGGATTTGGAGTTTGTTGCCATGGAAACTGTTTCAGCTACTTGCCCACAGGAGGGAGCCCTCTACCTGTTAAAAGGTAGGCTGGCAGCAGCAATATTTTTGTTTAGGAAGAAGACAGTGGAGAAGGGGTCAGTTAATAATAGAGACACACTTGGTTTATTTTCACATAGGGGGCATCTCCTACTGGTGACAGTGTGGCGTCTGGCACATTCTCTAGACCAGTGGTTCCCAAACTTATTTGGCCTACCGCCCCTTTCCAGAAAAAATATTACTCAGCGCCCCCTGGAAATTAATTTTTTTTAAATTTTAATAGCAATTAAACAGAAAGATATATGTATTAATGTTTCTACCTTTTTCGTAAAATATAGTAAAGAAAGGTGTAAATTAGAAACATTGAAGTTTGAAATTATGAAACTATTTATTGAACTCAGAATA